AAGTGTTTGCTTTATGCACCCCGAAAGGTGGATATTCAGCAGTCACATAGTCAACCAACAGTTTTCGAACAAAATTATAACAGAATTATCGTAAGACATGAAAAAGAAAATAAGTTACAAGAGGATTGATTGAAGTTCCGAAGCGATGCGTTCTGGGCTTACAAGAAAACGGGAAAGGTAGGGCACCACAGAAGACCGATTGGCGGTCGTACTAGCAAAATACAATAAAGCCGGGACCGAGTGGAAGAGGAGGACACACTTAATATGATCTTGATGTAACTGATGTGAAGGATTATCTATGATTTTTGTTCATAACGAGAAGCATGACTTTGTATGTTAGGAAATGATGACGTGAGAGATAGTATTACGGGAAAACCCGCTACTTCTTGATAAGTGTGTTAATAATCTGATAAGCAATTTAGAGTCCTTTTTGAGGGTTCCGGGACCCGTATAACCATAGGGGTAAAACACAGGCAAAAAGAAAACGTTTAATCAAGAAGCGAGGTACGGATAGTGTTTTCAGTCGTAAGACATAAAATGACAGTTTCCTGACCTTTCAAAATACAGAATCAACTTGGTCAGACCAGCATACGTTTCGGTTAATTAACACATCAAGATACTTGACATTTTGGGTTTGGACAATAGTATCATCGTATATGTTTAACGTGGGACAGGATTTCAGGAGATTNNNNATTGGCATAAGGATTCCGCCTGTGAAGTGAGAACAGCATTTCTACACACTTATAGGGATTGAGAGTTAGGTTATGCTCAGCGGACCACTCAGCAAGGTTAGTAAGGCCAGTTTGGAGGGTGGGAGCGACAGATGCATCAGGATGGGCGATTCCGACCACAACATCGTCCTCATATATAATGAGAAGGGAATTTTGTAAAGTAGGCATGGATGAAATATAAGTGGAAAAGAAAAACGGGGATAGAATGGCACCCTGTAATACACCTAATGTAGAAATTAATGAGAGGAGGAACGACCAAGGTAACGTGTGAACTGTGATCGATTTATGAAATATTCAATGAGTACTGCGATAATGGTTTGCGGTATCCCGTTTGAAGACAAAATATTTAACAGCATAGGCCTGTCAATAAAATTGAAGGCGTCACCGTAATCCAAGAAACAAATTCTGACAGCTTTATTGCTTCCATCCAGTGCTGACAGAATGTAGTGAACCAGAGAAGCTAGGGCATCTAGGGTAGAGCGAGAGTGACGGTACGCAAATTGGTTTTGGTCCTGCACATTCCGCTGAGATGACATTACTTGAAGGAGTAACTTCTCGAAAAGATTCAAAACAACAGACGTGCATGCAATGGGACGGAATTCTGAGGTGCATCCTTTAGGCACTAGAGTGATGGAGGCAGCTCTCCAACAATCCGATATAATTTCGTTTTCCAAGCACTGGTTAAACAGAGCTGTGGGCACTGGCTAAAGTGTGAGCGCACTCCTTAAGGATGGTAGCCTCCAACCGATCGAGACTGGGTGATTTATTGGGTTTGATTGTCAGCAACTCTTTCAGAACATCCTGTTGTCGAATAATAAAGGGTTCTTTATTGCTGGGGTCGATGTTTGCACTGGTGATTATTAGCCCCGTCCCAGTGATGTTGGTACTGTTGTTGAATGTTCTATTTAGTTCATCAACGTCTATCGCTTTTCGAGACACGAGTGAAGATTGACCACTCAGTTGCTTGATGGTGTCCCAGGTTTCCCGGCAGGTTTTGTTGTGCAGGCGTGTTCGAGTGTAACCATCGTTCAGTGATGTAGCTCACTTTTGATAGCAAGAGATAAGAGTTTCACTCTTTGAAGATCTTTGTTTTTGTATGCCCTTTCCTTGCTTCGACGTAACTGCTTCAGATTGGGAGACGAGATGTGGTAACACCGAAGGTATAGCGTCTCCCAGGAGCAGCATATATCGTCGCAGAAGTTTGGATACTGTGTAATGTGATCACAGTATATAGAAGGATTGGGGTTGTTGAGCACACTGAAGTTCGTCCGAGAGAACATCACATTGAGCTTCTCTAAGTTCTCTTGGTAACATTAATGTTTTCTTCTCTTTATGTCAAGGCTTTTTGTGAATGATATGTGATTGACTTTGCTATATACTTTTTGGGAAAATTTAATAAGTTCATGGTCTGAAGACCCAAGAGGGGAGCGGGAAGGTGCGAAAAAATGCTAGTATTATTTACAAAACACTTGTCTAAATGAGCATTTAGTCTTGTTTGGAAACTCACTATTTTTGTCAAACTCAGAACAGACAAGAGTGAAATATCAACACGATTGAAATCACCACAGACGATACATAGCGAGAAATCAATATAACTCATCAAAGCTGTGGAAATAGTATCTGAAAAATGTAGAAGTTCCTCTGAGGGACAAGAAAGAGAAATATAAATGTTAGCTAAGACAATCGACCGATATATACTGAGGTGTTTTGGCTTGCATTCATGTACGGAGGCACATATGTGACCAGTGGAATGAGCAAATGTTTGCTTGATGTTCTTGAACCAATTTTTGTTGATATAAGTCACCAGGCCTCCTCCACGCTTCTGATTCGTTACCGGACGGTCAACACGGTATCCAGTGAAGCCAACGATCTTAGTAGTTTGTTCATCAATTTATCTATGTAACCAGGTCTCTTGTAATAGAATTGCGCCTAAGTTAGAATATTCCATACAGTGTACAAGATCAGATATATCTAGTGATTTTCCAAGCAACGAACGGACGTTGTTGCTTATAATGATGTGTATGCATAGTTGTGACAAAGCTCTTTGACGCAGTGCTACTCTCCAACCACTTCGAATCTTCCTCCAATGTCCGCAAGATTTTTTGCGAATCCTTTTGTATTTATTTCTCACTGATTTTCCAAATTCAAGTACTTTAGGAAGCCAATTAGAGTTCTTGATGTTTATCATGAAGGCGTTATGAAATTTCGCGACTGGTGTCATCGAAGTTGCACAACGCATCTATGGAAACGACCTAAAAAGCGATTTGATGTATAAAAACAACGGCAATGTGGGTGGGTGATTATGTGACAATGATCGAACGGAAAACAACAGCGCGGCCAAATCTGAAGGCCCCGCCTTGCTGGTTTTCTTTATATTTTTCAACTATGTACATGAAGAGATGCAAAGATATTTTTCCAGAAATAAATTGTTAAACACCGTGCTGTTAGGTTCTTCACGATCATGTCGTTCTGGTTCTTATTTCCATCTTTCACGGCAGACTGTTTTCTTTTAACCATTTCGTTTGGTTTGTGTACATTACTCTGATTGGTGGCCTCGTCACAGTAATTGCATGTCACCACTGGATCGCCATGTATTGTTGCATGCATTGGAGAATAATTTTATGACTGCCGACGTCTGCCATATTCTTCAGCTTATTTGGAACACTCAATTACCTTGAAGAATGTCACATAAAGAATGGTTCTCGAGACCATTAGTGAAATACTTTTCTATGAACATTTTTGCACGCGATGTTATCACAGATAGCATTAATCTCCACCAAATGAGGCCTCAATTTGATCTATCGAAATAATGTTACTGGGATGTGTATTGAGATTGTTGATCATACGTGTGGAGCAGTATGACAATAAAATACTTTACATCTTCTGCAGAGCTTAGATTCATTTTTACCAGGGTTAGTTTTGTGCATATCTATTCAGAAGAATCTGTCAACTGATGCGAAAGAGTCCGTTGCAGTTTGAAAATTGCCGTGAGAGCTGACTGTCCTCGTGACTGGCTCCAAAGTATCGGATCAGATCAGATTTTATCGCCATCGTATAACGGCAAGCATTACATCAGCAAATGAACTTGATATCGCCGAAGCAGGAAAGAGTCAATGGAAATTTGGCAGTTATGAGATGAGGAATACGGTATCGGTTTAGGATCCGACGGAATGAACCCAATGAAGACTAGTTCAAGCGAAACAGGACAATCTCGGTTGTCACCCGGAGGCTTGCGAGAGAGAGAGGCAGTGGTCGTACTCCAACGCACGCATATCGCGTATTGCAAAGTTTGCAGATGCTCCATGCACTGCATCAATGTCAACCAACTTTTTTCACCTTGAGAGTTTTATCTGGATTTCTGCATGCCATGACTGCCCTACTATGTCGTCTGCGCATTATTCGGATGGTAGTTGTACGTCACTAAATGAACCC